GGCCCTTGGTGACATAACTCATGCCACTAGACCAAGCCTTACTTGACATAGACCTACCTCTGGACTTTTCTGCTATGTGAGCCAATAAATACCTGTGAAAGCTAGTTAGATGTGAATTGTCTATTCATTCACAACACAATGAGTCATAACTGATGCGGGCTTGCATTTGAAAGCACTTTTCTCATGCAGTATCTTAATGTGGTGTTTTCCTCTTGCTCCACAGTCCCAGAAGCGCCTCATCTGTATCTCATCTCAGCTGTTTAATGGTTGATTGTCTCAAGAAGCACTTTGCTAAGTTTAAGTTCACGAATGCCTCCTACCTTCTGACAGATGATTGAACTCGTACTTTAATGAACAGATCCTCTGAACTTGATGAAAATATATTCTCAGTTTCAGACTCTGGAAAGGATAACTTCCTCTGCCTGGTGAAATGCCGTACAGGTACCCCTCCTACCCACCATATTTGTGAATTCTGTATCTACCATGTCACCTACAGCTTAAGTCAGATTCATGGCAGAATAACCAGGTGTTTAATGCAGATCTGTTGGATACTTGGCTTAATTGAACAATCATTGTTGAGAAGGAGAGTCCAGGCATTGAGACAGACTTTAGGAAGCTGAAAGTCTCTCTGCCCAGTGACTGAGATGAAAGTTACAGAGTGAATGTTACTTCCTTAGCAGCAGACAACGGTCCCCTCCCCCAAACAGCACCGACGCCTCCCACCCACTGCCCAAACCACCGCCATCTAGGTGACTCCAACTCCGTGAGCCTACATGGGGTTTCCAGATCCGCAAATCTCTAGGGAGTGGATGGCTTCATTTCCTTGGGTGAAGCAGTTTGTGGGTATGACCCTCTGGACAATGCTTACTGAGTCATGCCACCTGGGATTCTTAAAGAATGGCTATAGTCTGGTGCTGACAGTACAGGCTCTAGTCACAAGCAACCCTGTGTACCAGTCCACACCCCCATTTTAAGCATTTCTAGTTCATGCCAGGCTCAGGTGCATCTACCATGAATGAGACAGGAGACCCAATATCTTCTGATTCCACTGTATGGCACCCACTATATTTTGTCAAAAGTCATTTGTTGGCTTTCGAATGATATAGTAAGGGACACTTTTATTTTGTTGATAAAATGAATGAATTGGTGTGAGAGGAGAGACTGAAAAGGTAAATGTTCTTAACAGGTAGTCCACTGGAATCTCAGGGAGTATCCTGGACCCTGTCGATGTCTTCTTCCATGGGATATACCTCCAACTGCTCTCTCTCTCACCATCCTGAGAGGATGAGGTAACCGCTTGATTCTGCCCATTACTGTTTAAGAGAAGATGAATTCTAAGCATATAAGCTCTATCCACTCATCTATGAACTCTATATGACCCCATTTAGTTTTCCCAAGAGACTCGAGAGATGCTCGTGACGATGTAGGTAAACCCTAAAATGGATTTACCCTTGGGTGTTCAAGCAGACTTCCTGAGATCTTTTTGAACATGTTGTGCCTGTGTCAAGAGGAGAAACCATCAAAGGCACTGCCATTGAGTCCCTTTCGTGAACCGATGGACAGAGTAGACTCTCTGGGTTTCCAACGCTGTAACTCTTTAGTGAGCAGAAAACTTCCTCTTCCTCCCTTAGAGCGATGGTGGGTTCACACTGCTGACCTTTGGATCAGCACCAAAACACAGAACCCAGGACACCAGCAGGGATTGGTGTGGAGGAAACAAAGGAGGGAATACCCAAATCTATTGTGACACTGAGGGATATAAAAAGACTTCCCCAGCTTGTCTCCCCCCAAAATATGCCAAACATTAGAGGCTGTTTACCAGCACATGGTGGGAGGTCGGATGCTTAGATCCTCCCTGAAGACATTCAGCCACCAGACTACTGTCTTATCTACTGTAGGTGGGGCTCACTCCCTGCTGTTAGGGATGATGGATTGCTTCCCCTGAAAGCTTGGAGTCTCCAGCTCACGGGCAATCAAGGTTAGGCCGCCATCATGAATCTAGGGTCTGCCCATCTTGTCACATGTGTATCCCCAATACCTCCCCTTCCTATTG